AGAAAGAGAGAAAGAAAGAAAGAAAGAAAGAAAGAAAGAAAGAAAGAAAGAAAGAAAGAAAGAAAGAAAGAAAGAAAGAAAGAAAGAAAGAAAGAAAGAAAGAAAAGAGAGAAAGAAAGAAAAGAGAGAAAGAAAAGAGAGAAAGAAAGAGAGAAAGGAAAGAGAGAAAGAAAAGAGAGAAAGAAAGAAAAGAGAGAAAGAAAGAAAAGAGAGAGAGAGAGAGAGAGAGAGAGAGTGATATTTATCCAACCTTTCCCCAACTTCAACCAGTTTGGAAAGAAAGCAAGTGGAGTAATGTGCCCAAACTTGAGATGTACCAATTTAGCAATGCTTCTGGCATGGTGCCCGGCACTGAAAGCATCCCAGCCCCTCCTCTTCACCCCAAAATTTCGACACCCAACCTATTTAATCAGCCACAAAGAATGACTCTTATCTTTGCCAAAGACTAGTTGACAAGCCGTGTTTTGGGGGGTTTTTTTTGGTTGGCACCTGGAGGCACTGCAGGAGGCGGGTTTGTCTCTGCTTTTCACAAAAAGCACATTGTACATCCTTGGCAATGCGCTGCAACCCACCCCTCTGGCTCCGGCCTGCAACGTTACAGGGCACACACAAACACGCTGCACTTAGGGAAAAGATGCCTCTCTCCAGAATAAATGAATGATGAGAAAGCTTTTTTATAAAGCTGGTTATAATCCTCCCCTCCCTGCCAGGGTATCTCCGACCTCAGCAGTCCTCCTCCAAAGGAGCAATTTCAGTCTCGTTGGGTCACAAGACGAGAGGAATGTTTATTCAGATTTATCGGCCCTTGCAAAGATTTGCAACCCCAGCAGCGGTGAGTAATGCAGAGGGCTCTTTTGGTGGCTGCCCGGCTGGGATTTCTACCCAAGTGAAGCCACCGTGCTAAAGCTTTCAAAACGTTGGGAAAAGGTTCATTGGAAGAAATAACTTGATTGTCGGAGAAAGCGTCAGGCGAGACGGTTCAAACCACGGGCAAAATTTTGAATAGAATAGAATCTTTTATGGGCCAAGTGTGATTGGACACACAAGGAATTTGTCTTGGTGCAAATGCTCTCAGTGTACATAAAAGAAAAGGTACATTCGTCTAGAGTCAAGAATCATCAGGTACAACACTTAATGACAGTCATAGGGTTCAATAAGCAATCAAATCATACTAGGAAACAGTATAAATTGTAAGGATACAAGCGACAAAGTTACAGCCATACAGTCACAAGTGGGAGGGGATGGGAGATAAGGAGTGATGAGAAGATTAATAGTGATAGTAGTGCAGATTTTGTAAATAGTTGGACAGTGTTGAGGGAATTATTTGTTTAGCTGAGTGATGGCATTGGGGAAAAAAACTGTCCTTGTGTCTAATTGTTCTGGTGTGCAGGGCTCTATAGCGTCGTTTTGAGGGTGGGAGTTGAAACAGTTTATGTCCAGGATGTGAGGGGTCTGTAAATATTTTCACAGCCCCCTTTTTGACTCCTGCAGTATGCAGGTCCTCCATGGAAGGCAGGTTGGTAGCAGTTGTTTTTTCTGCAGTCCTAATTACTCTCTGGAGTCTGTGTCTGTCCTGTTGGGTTGCAGAACCAAACCGGACAGTGATAGAGGTGCAGATGACAGACTCAATAATTCCTCGGTAGAATTATTGCGTACATTTCTGGCCATTTTCATTTTACTCAAGTGGCCTGAAATATAGCGAAGGAACCAAAACTTTTACAACAAGAGCCAAAGGATAACAATCACACACACACACACACACACACACGAAAAGAGAGAGAGAGAGAGAGAGAGAGAGAGAGAGAGAGAGAGAGAGAGAGGTTGAGCTCCTGAATAAACCGGTGCTGAGCTATCGAAATGCCCCAATAAAGCAGTCACATTTTTTTCTTGATTCATCAAGAACTCAGGGAGCGACCGAGTCAAATATTTAGCCTGCTCTTTGATTTGCAAATGAAATGCTAATTTAGTTTGCCAAGCAGCCATTTATATGCCCCTGCTACATCCTGCAAGGCAGTGTCAGCAGCAACCCCATTTTGCAGAAAGGGAAGCCGAGGCTGGTGGGGGGGGGGGAATTAAAATTAAAAAATAAAGCTGGCCACAGGCTATCTAACCGACTCACCAGGAAGATTAAAAAAATGCAACGGGGGGGCCCTTTTTTGGTTTCTTATATACGCTGCTGGTTACTACTTAATACACACAAGAAAGAAGTTTTTTTTTTTTTTTTGGGGTCTGCTTTTCGAAGTGGGGTTGGGTTGGTAGGAAGCCAACCAGCCTGACGAAGTTAACATCTTTAAAAAAAAAAAGGAGGGCAGATCTAATCAGGTCTAAATCTTAGATCTAATCTGAGTTTAGCTGTACATTTTATTTACTTAAGCCTGTTTCTCACGTTCTGATGCAGTTTTTCAGGCTCTGCTCATCCCAGAATTTGGCAAGTGGGAAATGTTTAAGCCAAGTTCTCCCACAAAGCAAAGCTTTGAAATCCATCCCTCGCTGCTTGAAATACCAGCTCCATTGTACAAAGAGTCCTTGATTTACAAACTATTTGTTTAGCAACTGTTTGAAGTTACAACAGCGGTTTAAAAATAAAAAGGTGACTTGCAGCCACTCCCCGGCACTTACTACCAGAAGATACAGGCAGCTCTCGGCTTACAACAGTTCATTTAGTGACCATTTGAAGTTACAGAGCCACTGAAAAAAGGGACTCGTGACCGTTTTTGACACTTATGACCGTTGTGCCAACCCCATGTCCATTGTACGACCTTCCTTGCCACCGTTGTTAAGTGAACCACTGCATTTGTTAAGTGAGTCACATGGTTGTTAAGTGAATCTGGCTTCCCTATTGTTTTTTTTTGCTTGTCAGAAGGTCGCAAAAGGGGACGCTGCGACCGTCATAAATTTGAGTCAGTTGCCCAAGCGCCTGAATTTTGATCACGACCACGGGGAGGCTGCAATGGTCGTTAAGTGTGAAAAACGGTCCTAAGTCGCCTTTTTCCCATGCAGCTGTAACTCTGCATAGTCACTAAGTGAACTGTTGTAAATCAAGGACTAACTGTAGACCTGGCAGAGAAGAGCAACCAGGATGATGAGGGGACTGGAGGCTAAAACATACGGCGAACGGTTGCAGGAACCGGGCATGGCTAGTCTAGGGAAGAGAAGGACCAAGGGAGACAGGAGAGCATCTTCCAATATTTGAGGGGCTGCCCCAGAGAGGAGGAAGGGGTCAGGCTGTTTTCCAAGGCATCTGAAGGCCAGACAAGGAAGAATGGATGGAAACCGATCCAGGAGAGATTCAACCTGGAAATAAGGAGAAACTTTCTGACAGGGAGAACAATCAACCAATGAAGAGAAGTTGCGGGAGCTTCATCCCTGAAAGCTTTCAAGAAGAGACTGGACTGCCCTCTGTCAGAAGTGGTGTAGGGTCTCCTGCTTAGGTGGGTGGGTGGGGGTTGGACTAGATGACCTCCAAGGTCCCTTCCAACTCTGTTCATCTATATACCCTTCCTCAAGGGGCAAAGCCCCCTTCCTTCCCCTCCCAATGGAACTGACTGCCCATGTTTACTGAGGCTCTACGGTCAAGTGGAGA